CCCACACACCACACACACACACACAAACAAACAAACAAAAACACACACACACACACCTACACCTCTACCCAAAACAGCACACCGGGCGCCAGGCTTTGTTTCGTCTACAAAAGCACAAGCAAATACCGGGGGGGTGCTGGTGCTGGCTAGCGCTAGAGCTGGCGCTGGTGCTAGTGCTGTCGCGGCTGCTGCTGCTGCTGCTGATGGTGTTGTCGCGGCTGCTGCTGCTGCTTTCGCGGCTGCTGCTGCTGTATTCAGTGCTAAGGTGTGGCAATTGGGAGCCAGGGGTTATCAGGGGTTGGAGTCAATATGCAATAAGGAGGATCCTAAACGTCACTACAGCGTGCCCTCAGAGTCGTCGACGCTCTAGCGGCTACGGTCGTGGAAGAGCTCCTTCGTCTGGGATGGCTTTGCCACTGGACATGGATGCTCGGTACCGCTGCTTGGAACGTGGTCGTGCGCCGGGCCTGGCGTTGGGGCGTGCCTACGCGAGCCTGTTCACGGAGCGCATGCACGAGCTGTGGCTTGAGCCGTATCTTCTTCCTCGACCATGCTGACTAGGGTGGAGTTCTGTCGTTTGGACGTGATGGTGATGTAGTCACTCCCGCCTTCTACCTCCGGTTTGTTGTGACAGGCGGGGCTGCTAGTGCTCAGGACGTCCGCAGTACCGTAGTGCTGTGGGTGATGCTGCGAGAGAGAGATGTGAGATGGGGCGGGACGTCGTGAAACTCGAGATGGACTACAAGTGGCTTTTGTTTCATTGAGCTGAAGGATGACAAGGCCCACACGGAGAAATAAAGAACTGTAAAAGACCAAGCAAACCCGAAACCCCAAATCCAACGGGAGTGTCCGATTCATGGCAAGTGTGCCGCAAGATTCTCAATCGCAAGTATTCACGACGTGGCTGTTGGGAGATACCAAAGAGAAGCCCAGGCAAATACAATAATGTTGTCATGTCCTCGGGCTCAAAAGCTCGAGGCACTTCGCGTTCTTGACTAGCTGCGGCTGTTTCGTTGCTTATGTTTGGGTATTCCGAGTCATTCAGAGTCTGCGAATTTCAATGCTCCAACATAGTAAACCAGAGATTCCAAGACGAATGCCCAGTTGCAACATGCGTGAGGCAGCGCAGGCTTCCCCGGCGCAGTGTTCTGCTCGACTTCACGGCGAAGGCTTTTCTGCGGTGGTCTTCAAAAGGTCTGCACGTTCTTCATGTGAAGAAGGTGTAATGCAATGAACATGTTTTGCAAACGCAATTGTGAGGGCTTCGTGTCGTGACGGCAGGTGAAGATGTAATTAGTCGAGTCAAGCACCCCCGGACTGGCACAAAAAAGGGTTTGGGGATGTCTGGAGCAGGGGAATGAGCGGAAGGACGGTGGGGTCCTGTGGGAACCGCTTCGGCCGGAGCCGGTGCAAGGCAACAGGAGTTGTGGAACTATCTGGCATTTCGCGCACCGTATCCGACGAAATGAAGGCAGAGAATGGCCAAACCATGCCAGAACCCTGGCATAGGACAGACAAGATTCAAGCAGAGACGGGGATGCAACCTGCGATTGCCTGGACACAGGAAGCAGAGGTTGAGCAAGATAAGCTGCCCCCGTTCAATGATTCAATGCGGTTGTTGAACAATCAGCAGGCCCATGTAACTCTTACCTTTCGCGAGGTTGCGATCGACTCCCCTCGATGCAGGATCTTTGGCATGAAACTGAGCCAGTTGGTATTGGCATTTCAGCCCTTGCTGAAGCCCTTGCTCTTTTTCTGGTATTATACTGATGGTCGGGTCACTGTGAGGGCTGCTGTATTGAAACAACGTAAGTTCAGTCCTAAACCCTTCTGACCGTGAACTCACGGTCACCAGAAGCCCCGAAGCCAGAGGCTATATGGTCGTGACCCATGCAGGGTCTTGGGGCTGGGACTGTCCACACCTTCAAGAGCTTCGAGTTCACCTTCCAGCCCTAGTCGGCCTTGAAGGTGACTAGAAATCTTGCTGCTCACTCGGCGGTCCAAACCTACAAGTAGCTACAATGAGCCTTTATTTTCTTCTCTCCCCCACCATGCAAGTCAAACTGCCTTCGAAGAATAAATAAATTCCAAGCGCGACGCTTTGAACACGAAACTCCAAACCCGACAGTCCCAACTGCCCCGTTCGAAGTGTGTCTCCACTCAGGATTCTGGTCTTCCGCTACGCCGGCCACTTCGAGCATGGGGGCCTTCCCAAATCTCGAATGGGAATTTCGGCTTGTATGTAGTGTTCAGGGCTTTTGGGGATTCGGGGGCTTACGGCTTGGAATTATTGTAAACGCTTCGCGTCGTCTGCCTCCACTCGTGCAGGGAATAATGAGACGAGGAAGGTGGCCGCCGGGTGTGCGGGGTCCGGAGGCCAGACGGGCGGGGAGAAAACATTTCTGCCTGCCTAGGTGCCGGGGTCACTGTGGATCGGATACTTGGATTAGGAGGAGGGGAAAGAGGTTCTCGACACTGCTTCGCTCGGGGCCGAGGCGAAGTAGAGGGAGTTCAGGGGCGTGGCCATGGATTTGAATAGTTGCGATTCCTCTCCACTCGTGTGGTGGGACTTTGGCGGGTCACAGGTCGTTGTATGACAGGTATGAGTATCATCATGAATAATAAGTGTCGCCACTGGCATGTTTTTGTTTGCCAATGTAGGTTGGCCACGAAGAAACTCTACATGCTCTTGAGCTATGGGACAACTCTCGTCGTGCGTGTTCCCCTTTTGGTTCAGCCTTTCTGACAGTGACTTTTTTTGCATGTGGGGTTGAGGGCTTGCAGTACAGGTCGGAAACGCGGAGCCCATCAACCCGGAAGCAAACCCTCGATCCTAGTAGCCCCTTACGGTCTCACGGTAGGGATCCCTGCGCAAGCAATAGTGGAATTCTCATCTGCCCACGGCTCACTGCTTGGGTTGAACTCGGTTTCGGACCCGAGTGAAGGGCCCAGGCTTCTCTTATCGTTGTGTGAACTATGTGTGATCCTATACAGAAGCAGCCCTTTCAAATGTGAGCTCCTCTAAAGAACAGCAAGCTACCATGAATTACAGACTACAGACTGGCCATCAATCGCGCACGCCAGTCCCCCTTTCATGCCCCAGGAACCTCGAATCTGGCCACGCCCGGCCTCTGCATGTTGAATCCTCAATCCTACTCATCTAGGCCCTCACACGTAAAGCTCGCGACCCGTGCACTCCAAGGAATTAATGATCATGACCGGGACTACATGATGTCGGTTGCCCTGGGGCTCCTTGACAGAGCTTTCTTCCTTTCTGGGATGCTGGATGTCAATGTCAAGATCTACTTGTAGGGCATATGCTATATCAGGCTGCACCGTGCTGGTTTGCTGTAGTATACGGTGCGACAGCAGAGCATACTACGAGATGGTGTCAATACTGCAGTCTATTGCTGTCTGTTGTTTGTATTAACTACTAACTATTAACGTGATGCACGATTGAACTCCCGTACAATGGACATAGACCACAGTCGGCTCTACTGTGTTCTGGCTGTTCTTTTCTGCTCTTGCGGTATGCTGTGTATTCTGCATGCAACTTTGTCACTACAATCCACCAGAATATGTCCTATGGTTCGACAACTTACCAGTTCGAAACTGATCAGAGGGACTGATGGTAAGGCTATATTCTGAAGGATAGAAATTCGGGTAGGCCGCAGCTGTCGTATTTCGGGTTGCACTGTGCGGGTTGCCAGGAAGTGAAGAAAACAAAACAGCCCTGCTTATGCAAAATGCAAAAAGAAGCCGTGACTGGCGCGGTCGGGCATCAGCATCTTCTTGGGGTGCAGGTAAGCCACATTCCGAGGCTCTGCCGGAGCCCGCTAACACTGGTCGTTGTGCATCGAATGGTTGGAGTTGCTGAGGTAAGTCCGTGTGTTTCGTTTTCGAACTACAGGAAGCAGTACACTCCTAGCACAGATTTCGGCCGCGGATTCTGAACTCGAAAGCCCTTACAGTGACTGGGAAGCCACGGTAACGTCATGGCCGCACCGCTCGACTGAGTCATGGGCACCACGACCACGGCTCGGTGGACTCTGACGAGGCAACAAAGCGGGGTTTTTGGTCTCGGTTTTTAGGATCAGTGTAGGTCGTGACATCAACTGATGAAACGTTTCATGATGAACCTCAGCATGGTGTTTCTGCAGGCGTACTTGTGCCGCAGCTACTGTTTCCTGATGCTCGTCTGCTGCATCTGCATTTGCTTCTGTTCCTACGAGTGCAAGTGATTAGCAGGAAAGTCCTCGGATAGTCGTCGTCGTAGTAATCATACTCAGCAGTGGTGGTTGTAGTAGTGGTCGTTGCAGGAGTGGTAGCAGTAGTAGTAGTAGTAGTAGTAGTAGTAGTAGTAGTAGTGGTAGTAGTAGTAGTAGTAGCAGCAGTCGTCGTCGTCGTCGTCGTCGTCGTCCTCGTCCTCGTCGTCGCAGTCGTTGTCGTCGTCGTCGTCGTCGTAGTAGTAGTAGCAGCAGCAGCAGTAGCAGTAGCAGTAGCAGTAGCAGCAGTAGTATGAGTAGCAGTAGCAGTAGCAGTAGCAGGAGCAGGAGCAGTAGTGGTAGCAGTAGCAGTAGCAGTAGCAGTAGCAGTAGCAGTAGCAGTAGCAGTAGCAGTAGCAGTAGTAGTAGTAGTAGTAGTAGTAGTAGTGGTAGTAGCACTAGTACGCGACCATGATCATGAAGATGATGGGCCCCCTGCAAAACAGTTACAAACGCAAAAATCAAGCAACAGAAACGACGTTGGCCACGGTATCAGCGACACTTATTCAACAAACGGAACAATGGCATGAACAGAAAACCTGCAACACATCCTACTCGAGACGAAAACTGCAAAAACTCGAGGTTGTTGCAAACAGATATGAAACAATCCTGCAACGGCAGCAGGCTTGCCCACTCCCTCGTTGATATGTGCTGTGAAGAGAACACTTCAGTGATGCCGAATCTGCCCGAGTGACCAGACACCCGAACCTTGCACTGGCTCAAGCATGCGCGAAGGAATCGATTCTGCTCCAGTGCATTTGCACTGGTAGCGGAGCGCAAGGCCTTTAGGGGCCGCCTCTTCATATGTGCGATGGCTTCTGGCAGTGTGCTGGACGGCCTCCGCTTTCAGCGCTTCGTGGCCGACGAGGATGCCACGGGAGCAGCTGCCTCCACGACGGAAGGCAGGTATGGAGTACCACGGCACAATGGAGATCCGAGCAGATTGAATGAATGGATCTTTAGGGCGAGGACCCTGGAGAGGAAGGAGGCCACCGTGACCGACGAGCAGAAGAAGCTTGGGCCGCTTACCCTGCGATTGATTGAGTGCTTTACTGGCCAGGCGCTCAAGATTGCACAGGGCCTCGACATGTCGAAGCTGGAGAAGGCCGACACCGGCCTCGACTACCTGATTGACTCCCTCACCGATGAGCTTCGACCCCGACGACTTCAACAAGCCCGAGAGTTATACGAAGCCGGTGCACAGACCGGCGGCAGGCTGGCTCGTCAGCCCATGGACATGGGCCAGTACGTTCTCAGGCGCCGCGCATGGTACCGCGCCCTCGTCGACTTGAACGCCGAGTTGAAGCTGCCGGATTTGATACTCTCCGAACAACTCCTCAACAACGCCGGCCTCTCACAAGACCAGAACTTTTGGTGAGGACCGCTGAGGGAGGAGATATGAAGTTTAACCGAGTAGCACAGGAACTGCTGGCGCAACACCCTCACATACACGAACGAGCTCCACAGCATCCTGGACATCGGCCGGGACATGGCCGAGGAAACCAAAGCAAGGGGTTCCCTGGAAAACCCCCGGTTCCACGCCTTTGCGGCTGGGGTGGAAAGCGCCACGGACTACCAGGATGACGTGCCCTTCAACAATCCGGACAACCGCGACGAAGACCAGTACGGCTAGGTGGCCCAGGAGACCGAGGACCTCTCCCAGCCGTACGAGATCGGGACGTTTGCCGAGGAGCACTTGCCGTTCCTCACGGACAGTGGCCTGGATTTGGAGGACCCGGAAGCCTGCGAGTGTGCGGCGCAGATGGTGCAACTACAAGAAGAAGCGTACTACGCCGGCAAGCAGGCCACCACTGGGCAACCTGGAAGGGATCCAATGGGGTCATGAGGATTCGGACATGCCGAACCGTTTCCAATTACAACGTGGCTTACCACGACGACCACTACCGCAGCTGGGTGATCGCGGTGCGTAGTTTGGTATCGAGTTGTTGATGGACATGATCACAAGGGCATTTGCAGAGGGCCAGGTCGTTCTTGACGTGGAAGGATGCCGTGCGGAACTCGGTGGGCTTGAGGTGAGGTAGTCCATTGTCTCGGTCACGTAGACGTAGTCCCAGGCTGCACTGATCCACCTTCACACACTCGAGCGGCTCACGGGTGGCGTAGTCACTAGAGGCCCTTGTTGGAGAGGTTCTGGGAGTGCTTGGCGGAGTTCCATGGGTTCTCCACCAGCACATGTCTCCCCTTATGGAGTCTGCGCTCCACGATCTCGTACATCCACTTGATGACCGGCTGCCACTTCTTCCTCGTCATCGTGACCTTGTTGCGCGCTTCCCCGGTGAGTATAGGTTCGTCCACGAAGTCCACGGTGTGCAGACAGGGGCAAAGGAGATGGCGTAGGGGCCTTATCGATGATGCGGTCGACGGCCTGTCGTCCTTCCGTTGTGAGAGGAGGTCAAAGCCAGTGTTCAGGTCGACCGGGTTCGAGACGGGAAGTCCCCAGTCCTGATAGGCCACTTGCGTCAAGATCGCCGCTGAAGCGAAGATCTCCAGAAGGAACGTCCTGCATCCTCGCGGTAGTTCAGTGGTCCGTCACGGCCTGTAGGGTCGCACCTGGTTCCACAGATGCCGGTCTCGGGCTCGTACTGCGGCCGTGCCTTCCTTCACCTTGTGGTGTGCTGCTGCTTGTTCATCACGCGTGGCTGTTCATTGTCCATACCAAAGTAGCCGACGTCGCCGTCCTCGCCGGGTTCTCGCCGTCCACGATTTCCCAGTCGGACGGTGACGGGGCAGTGCGTTCTTGCGGTGGCTGAAGTCCATCGTCACCTGGAGAACTAGAGTACCACTACACGATGGTGGCACTTCCAGCTGAAGCGGAACACGAGGTTGGCGACTCGGACGAGGAGGGTTGTGAAGGCAATCTGGATGCCATCCATGCCCCTAACGACTTCGTCACCGGCATCAGCGCCCCGAACATCACCTTACCGGACTATGCCGCCGATGAGAGGGAGCAGGAGCAAATGGAGATTGTCCACAAGGAAGAACCACATCCTCCACCACCAGCGCCAGCAGGGGAAGATATACAGAACCGAAGACGACTCTGGAAGCAACTTCCCTATACCACTCGTGTTGCTCTACGACGACTACACCACATGACCGGGCACTCACCACCGACGGCCATGCAACGACTCCTTCGAACGGCTGGAGCTGACCCGGACGCCATACGGGACCTGACAACTTTCGATGTCAAGTGTGCGAAGAGAAGAAGCAGCCCAAATGTCCAGCCGCGGTGAAGATGCCGGAAGAGTACAAGTTCAACAAGGCCATCTCGATGTGTTTATCATCAAGGACACCATTGGACGTCGATACAAGGTTATGTCTGTGGTCGACTTGGGGACCCTCTTCCGTGTGGCGGCCATCGTTGGAGAAGGATCCGGGCCACCTGGATCCGGAGATATGGCGCAAGCTCTCTGTACCTGTTGGAACTGGGCAGGCATCCCCCGAGAGCATCGTCCTGGACCGTGGGCTGGAGAGCCGTAGGAAGCTACAGCAACTGATCCTGCTGCGTTATATTGGTGTGGAAAGTGCCTACCAGCTTGGCCGAGGAGAACGACAGGGTGGGATTCCCGACAGCTACGCGGCCGCCAAAACATGGAGTTCGTGGTGACCGAGGCCGTCAGCATCAAGAACCACCGGATCAACCGCAACGGGTTTTCACCGGCCCAGTACCCGGCCGCAACCCTCCGGAGATTGACGCCCTTACCAGCTTGGGACACTCAAGCTCGACTAGGCATCCACCAGGAGATCCTCGACGGCGAGAGCATGATGGTGAGAGGAGCGGCGCGCGAGTCCTTCGCTCAAGCACCGCATACGCTCCTCCCTTCTCAGAAAGAGCGTCCCTACACGTGGACCTTTCGTCATGGGCGACCTCGTTTGCTTCTACAAGCGCCAGGGATCACACCGACAATGGAAGTGGTATGGACCGCTGCCTACGTTCTCCAGGACAACAAATCCGGCCTTCAAGCGATCGTCATTGCACACGTGGACGACCTCCTCTGGAGTGGCACTCAGGCCATGGACAAGGTGATGGATGAGATTATCAAGGAGTTCAAGTTCGGTGCAATCGAGTTCGGCGACAAGTTTGACTACTGTGGTCGAACAGTGGAGCAAGGCAGGGACGGAACTACCGTCACCTGCCCGAACAATGCGGCGAAGGTGAGAGCAATCTACTTGGACCCGGAGCGACGGGAACGCAACCAACTACGCTCTGTCGTGGGCAGCCTCAACTGGCTGGTCCGGGTGTGTCGCATTGACATCGCCTACGAGGTGCATCGGCTGCAAGCGGTCATGCAGAAGGCGCTGGTGGAGGACCTCATGCCGCACAAGGGCATGCACTTCAAGTACGAGGCCTTCGACATCCACGGCATGACCATCTACAGCATCACCGAGGCCAGTGTCGGGGCCGACTACGATATCTCCAAGAAGGGCGAGCCGATGGGAAATCGCTCCCAGTCCGGGAGACTGCTGCTGCTCGGGCCCAGCAATCTGGAGCACGCCGGGCAAGGAACGGTCCACGTCCTCGAGTACCCCAGCTCTGTCATTCGACGAGTATGCCGCTCTACGCTACAAGCTGAGACCCTGAGTGTGATCTCGGGTTATGAAGGAGCTGAGCACCTCCGAGCAGTCTTATGAGTCTTATATGGCTATGGCATGGAGCACGGGGAGGACAAGCCGGACCTGATCAAGGCGATGATGCCCGGAAGATTGTCATGATGACGGATTGCAAAAGCCTGGAACAACACCTCCGACAACCGGGACTACACACGGTGGGAGACAAGTGTCTCGCTATCGACTTGAGTGCTATGCGGCAGCTGATCTGGAGGCCTGGAGAAGACGTTGGCGATCCGACGCTAGCGGATGCCTCTGCAGCCACCACGGCCGTCTGGATCGGCACAAGCACCATGGTCGCAGACGGTTTGACGAAGAGAATGAAGAGCGCACAAATCGATGAAGTTATGCTGACCGGTACAGTGCGAGTCAGCTTTGTACAGCTTTCTGCAGGTTCGGTGTCAGAGAAAACTTAGGAGTGTGAAGAGAACACTTCAGTGATGCCGAATCTGCCCGAGTGACCAGACACCCGAACCTTGCACTGGCTCAAGCAAGCGAAAAGGCAACGATTCTGCTCCAGTGCATTTGCATGTGCTGTTGCTCTTGCGGTTGTTGTTGTTGTTGTTGTCGTGGTGGTGGTGGTGGTGGTGGTGGAAGTTATTGTTGACGACAATGACGATGATGATGCTGATTCGTTCGATTGTAAAACTGCTGGTGGACCACTTGTAGTACTTGTAGTACTCGTAGTAGTACTCGGAGTAGTACTAGTAGTATCTACTAGTAGTAGTAGTAGTAGTAGTAGTAGGAGTAGGAATAGGAGTAGGAGTAGGAGTAGGAGTAGGAGTAGTAGTAAGTAGTAGTAAGTAGTGGTAAGTAGTAGTAAGTAGTAGTAAGTAGTAGTAAGTAGTAGTAAGTAATAAGTAGTAGTAGTAGAAGTAGTAGTAGTAGTAGTTGTTGTTGTTGTTGTGGGTGTGGTTGTAGTATAAATAGCAGTTGTTGTTGTTGTTGTTGATGGTAGTAGTGGTGGTCGTGGTGTTCCTGGCTTTGTTGTGACAGAAGTTTTGTGTGTTTCGGTTTTCGAGGGCCAATCACCCGTGTGATGGATCAAGCTCGCTTTGCATCCTGCCCATGCCAGGGTGTGGGATCTACCATGTATCATCCAATATTAGGATTTACGGTATGCTACCCGCTTTTAGACTACTGCGTGTTGAGGAACCAGTCGCTCCCGTAAGATTTGAATTTCGCCATGTCTCTCATCTTCACGTTGGGTGTGGTTTCGGCCAACCAGCATATCTCGGTAGGATTTAGGATTTCCTTGCCTATAGTGCTTACCAACTCGCTTTGTGTATCTGAATGTGTAATAACCAATCATGTCTGTATGAAGGTTGTGGCGATACACCGATGTGATTTTGACTTAGGATATCGGTGAAAAGTTGTGCACATGCCCCGAGACACATACACAGACATACACATAAGATCATCGTAAAACTTCAGAAATACAGTCTCCTGTGCAAGCGCAAAGCGAGTCCACGCTGAGGACCGCTTGTCAGCAGCCCACCAAATGTCGGAGAATCATTATATCCGGCAAAATGGGAAAAGAAGGCAGTATCAAGCAGTTTAGCGCAACTTCTATCACCCACAAGGTGGAAGGAGAACAAATCAGGAGAGGACAAAAAAGTTGAACAAGTGCGGACTGTTATTTACCTTGAAGGGCGGGCCAAAAGCTGGACGAGGCCAGCCTTCGGCCCAGGAAGAACATTCAACTATCAAACAATCTACCGATTTTAATGCGGCTAATAGGGTTTAGAAATTGTGGGGAGAATTCCCCCCGACACATTGCAGGATTCGTGACCGCTCAGCCGAATCTGAATATAGGAGCACATGAAACCATGTTTACTACAGCAACTACTACAGCAACAACAACAACAACTACTACACCCACTACAACTGCTACTACGGTGGATGGTCGAAATCTTGTATGACATGTCCAGCAGCAGTGTTAGCAAAGACCTCGGCGGTGTCTCCCCTCACCCGAATTTCAATGTTGGAGAGGCCATCGGGTCATGCAAGATTTTTACTACTCAGGCGTGTCGCGTCCCCGTTCATTTGGGCTCAATATTAAGATTCGGGGGTTGCGAGGAAGAGACCTCTGTCGGGAAATCGATGCAGGACTTTTCGCAGCAACCGTAGTAGTGGTAGTAGTAGTAGTAGTCGTCGTCGTCGTGGTGGTGGTGGTGGTAGTAGTAGTAGTAGTGGTGGTAGTAGTAGTAGTAGTAGTAGTAGGAGTAGTAGTAGTGATAGTAGTAGTAGTAGTAGTAGTAGTAATAATAATAGTAGCAGTAGTAGTAGTAGTAGTAGTAGTCGTGGTGGTGGTGGTGGTGGTAGTAGTAGTAGTAGTACTACAACTACAACAACAACAACAACTACTACTACTACTACTACTGCTACTTCTTCTTCTTCTACTACTACTACTACCACCACCACACCACCACCACTGTCGCAAGTACCAGATAACCCCCGTTCTGTGTCGCATCCACTGCCAATGATAATGCTGTTGGTGCTGCATTATACCACTTCATACGGTTATGACAAGTGCTTCTAATTTCAACATCAATCAAACTTTGTCAAGATGTCGTGCGACGTGAGCAGTTTGCTGCATTGTTGCTGCTTGTCCGACAGTCCAATATGATTGGTTTGGAGTGCAGAAGCCAAGCGTGACATCCCAGCGGTCTTTCTTGGAGTCCAGCAATGAGTTTGGAATCGCAGGTGCTGGGCTTTGCGTGCACCGAACAGAGTTGTCAGTCGCATTCAGCTAGCAACGCTCTGACTTGAGGCGGCTACCATTCGCAGAAGGTTCGCGACGTGACAAGGCAAACCTGCCGGTCCGCAGCTTTGCACTGTCGTCAAGCAGTCGTACCCAAGCCCAACTGGTCGCCAGCAAGATGTGCAGACAAGGGTGGTGCGTCAGCAAGGTTGTGCTGCTCACACGAGTTGGACGAGGCTTTGCAGAGGCTTGGCCAAGACAACACTGAATGTTTACAGAAAGCCGTGCCTTGTGCAATCGTTGCAGGGATTGCTCCTGGGCCTTTGGACGGGCAAACTGATGGGCGACATCGGTGTGGAGGTGGAACACTTGGAGTGATGCGGACAGATGTCATGTCAGATCATTTGAGGATGTTTTGTCTCTTGTATGTTATATCGGATTCTGATAACGGCAAATCACCCGCAAGGCGCGAAGCAACTGTAGTCTCAACGGAACCCTTCACATGGGCCTGGACCACATGTGTCGGCAAAATGCGGATTCAGAACGGCCCATGTGGTGCAGCGTACCTCAGTGATGAGTGGAGAGCCAGTGCGCACCCAAGTTGGCGGGAACAGCGCTTCATGCATCTGCTCCGCCACACACATTGACCCGCTTTAGGTTCAAGATTAACTGGACCAGAGAATAGCAAAGCATCAAGAGGCGATGCGCGAACGCGAGAGGAAAGAAGGCCAATAGCAGCAGACGAGGACTTGGCCCTGGCTGGAGCGATAATCTGTTTGGCGGGAATCGACGACGCGAATAAACAGGCACTGGCAAAACGCTCGCGGGCACATACGCTCACCATGCCGTTCGGGCATCCGGAAGGTCGTGCTCCCCTGCCTGTGTGGAAGCTTCGTCAAGACGTACATGTGTATGTCCTTTGTGGCTTGTGTCCCCGGACGCGCTCAGCTCTCGTCTATGGGCGAAGTCACTTCCAAACACACGTGGGCTCCCAGGGCTTGTTACCAGTCTCCTGTGTACGAACGAAGAGCGATTCCTTATCGCGTTGTCGCTCCTTCTCTTGAGGCAGTATGTCTTGGCTAGCATGTGCCGTGCTCCGACTTCACCTGCAGCGAGCAATGTGCACATTCAGCATTATGTGAGCAAATTGCAGATCGGGAGGATTAGCTACGTTTGGTACGACAGGCACAAATCTAGGAAATAGCAGAATGGCAAATGCAGTCGACGCGCAAAGCGCAATGATGTACTCATGTTGCGAGCATGTGCCTCCCTCCGTCAATGTACTGCAACGAAGGCACCGACAGCAGAACGCTAGATAAATGCATCAATGCTCAAAGCTGTCGGAGGAACACACAAGCCTATTCAAGACGAGGTAATAAGTTTCAGCTTTCGAAGTTTGTTGTGACAATGTATGTGCGGTAATTCCACCATACAGTTGTTGATCGCTGACAAGAAATAAAAGTGCAGAGTAGAGTCACCCAAGTTGCCCGGTATTTGTTCGGCCTTGCATCCTTGACATGACTCGAAGTGAAACAAGCTGTAGAGCATGATAGAAAGCAAGGGTGAATCGGAATAAGTGTGACGACATGGGGGAAGTGACAAGATGCGCATAATTAAGAAGGATGACTGCAGCGACGAGGACACATAGCACGGTATCAAGTTCAACGGCCAGTGTCAATTATTTATCCCTGTAACAAAAGATTCCTGAAAGTAGCGGATCGAGATGCTCGCTCTGACTTGCCAGGCAGTAAGTCATATGAGCTAACTCGAACAATTGAGAGCAACGTTTCAGCAGTATAGAACAACAAGTACTGACCGATTGTTAGAGCTGACAAGTGTCAGTGAGGGGCTGAAGAGGTTTCTTTCGCACGACAACGGTGCCTCTGGCTGGGTAATGTTTCTGAGGTAAATCAGAACACTACGAGAAACGTATGAGAAACATGAACGAACACAGAAAGCATAGGCTGACTTAGCTGAACACAGGAATCAGATAGGAGCGAAATAGGAGAACATTGAGAGAGACATAGCAGATCAACAAGAGAAGCAGGACAAAGTCGACAAGCTATAGTTTACAACAGTAGACTCCAGAGGAACACTCTAAAGATTAATGACTTTCTTGCTGAGCCTTCCTGGTAAGAAGGAAGACCCAGCAGAAACAAGGAGAACACAGGAGATATGAGAACAAAAGGAGAAGTGCTAGAGAAAACGGGAGCAACATGAGGACAACCCTAGTAAAACCGTGAGAAGAATGTTTCAAGTATCAATAGTAAGTGAAAGCCTAGGTAAAACAAAAACATTAAAGCCTCTAGGAATACGGTTCATACAAATCAGTGGTTAAAGTTGTCTTGTTTTCCTTTGCATTCTTTACAACTTTCCAAGTTGTAATTGTTTCGTCCTAGTTTTCGATTTGCTTTGGCAGTTCTTACAGCCTCTTGCTCGTTTTTTCTACAATCTCCCATTTTCGAGCATGCAAATCTTGTGTTTGTCTACATCTTCTCTGGGCCTGACAGTGTCAGGCCTGATACGAAAACGGCTGTGGCACGCAATAGGGCCAGGGTTTAGTTTAGGGTTTAGGGTTTAGGACCGTTCAGGGAATAGGGATTAGGGAGGGATTAGGGTTTCGGGGTTTCCAAGGTTTAGGGTTTATGGTTTAGGGGGGTGTGCCCTGATCCGCATCACTCGTGACACTTTCGCAGCTTCGATCGAGTAGGTGTCTCTCGGGCCCAACCAGTGCCCCGATAGTTTGGTTTTCTCCGATTGTGTAGTCACCTGGAACATATACGCAGGGTAAAATAGGACAACCATTGATTTTGTATGGTTTCCCTGTAGTGTTAATTCTCACTAGTTTTAACAGTTCCTACTTGTAGGAACAGTTGTTGTTTCTTAACGTGTCTACATGATGACAGTTTCTCCGAACATTCCTTCCTGGTGTTCTCCTAGGTTCCCGTGTTTCTTTGGTGTTTATATCATATTTTCTCTCCACTTCAGTTCCGTTTGTGTGGCTCTTGATGAGAGCACACGATTCCTCATGTATTTCTTATGCTTATCATCCGTTTTATTCGTGGAGTTGGCTAGACTTGGTACAAGATACGGCCATAAGCCTGATATTACATGGATCAGCCGTCAACGGCACGACTTTGAACATCTCCACGATTCCGCTGCTACCCCTAATTTTAATATTGCTCTGACGCAGGGGCTGGAAAAAGGGTTTGTGCGAATGCCGAAAACCCTGCATGACCCACAGGGATACAACATTGAAGTTCAGGGGTTGCGGGGAAGTGGATAGCGCGACATGGAATCTGTGCGATGTTGTAGGTCATGCAGGAGTCTGGGCATCAACAGCATGAATGTCATTAGCAAGTGAGCAATACAGTTTTATTATGAACAAGCAAGATACAAATTGCGTGAAGTATTGCTCAGAGAATCATGGTCATACTTCAACGGTTCTGAAGCTGCCAGGATTTCATGACCAGACCATTATACCATGGTGGGCCGGGCGCGACTTGGTTCTAAACCAGCGATGCGGTTGTTGCCACTACGTCTTGGAATTTGCAGGTGGGAAATTTCAGTGTTATCGGCGAGATTTGAAAAGCCCTGTATATGTTGAGGGTCATGTTGGGTACAAGTCGCATGTGGTTATGAAACCTCTAAACGTGTGCAAATCCATCGACCAGATGTACAGCACTGCTTGCCTGATCTTGTCGCATTCAAGGCCAATGGCACTGGGTTGTCCATGGTGCACTCGTGCTGGTCTCAAGATGAATCTGGTGAGTAGTAGGTGTGCAGCTCACGCCCTTCACCCGAGGTATCCAGAAATGCCGGGGTCCACCGTGCTTTCTGCTGACGGTCTCGCCTGGAGGTTTGCTTCCCAAGCTGATTCTCGATTGTCCTGCATACCAAGCTGGTGGAGACTTTCCATTCCTTTGTCGAGTGGATCGAGCACAGTTCTCAGGGACACATGATCACACTCTATGGAGCCGGCACAAGGATGGTGACAGCTTAGTTCCAACGACGGACTTCGGTGTATCTAGTCACAGCAAGATCCTTGCGAAGAAGAAGAAGAAGCGTGGATAGCACGTTGAATTGTAAATGGCAGCTACACTTCATGGTGTCAATCAGTCCTGCAGTTTCCGTAGCAATGCGATGCAAGATTGCCATTGATGGGCCCTGGCACGATGGCTGGACTTGGCGGCATATGGTCGCAACCTTGCTGGCATCATTTGTTGCGGTGCGTTGCTGGCCGTCGTCACCGTTTGTGATCGGCCAGCGAACGTCCGCTCGGGACACCCTGGTATCAAGACGAGCCGGAAATCCCTTCGACGTGTTGGGCCTGCCTCGGAGCGCTTCCTACGACGAGATCCGCTCAGCTTTTCGCAGCCTGGCCAGGAGCAGCAGTTGCATCAAAGAAATATCAAAATGCGGCTTTGGATCTGTCGTCTGCGGTACACATGGTTGAATCATAATCGGCCTCGCAGCCGGTGCTATGACATGATCGTGCTGGTTCCGATTGCTTGCAGGTGTTAGAGCCCCCGCGCGAGTTCCGTGTGCTTATGGCAACAGGGTGCTAAGTTGTGGTGTGCTGCTGCTGATGATGCTGGCTGCAGGGTTATGCTTCAGCTACTGTTGCCGCCTCCACTTCTGGATTGTTGTTTATGTTGACGTTGTTGGTATAGCGCCTCTACTGCGGTGATTATGTGTCGCGCGTCGTCCTTGCGATTGGCACCTGGGCCTACCTGTGGCCGTTTGTGTGGCCCGTCAATGTTTTCGATGTTCGAACACAGCCCGTTTGTCAAAATGGAAGCGATCGAAATTTGGAACTCCGGACACACTCCGCATCAATTTCCTCCACGTGAGATGGTCAGTCCTTCAGAAGTTCAATCACTCTTTCATTGTGCAGTTTAAGTCTCAAAGTTTTGCGTTGGTTCTGTGCTGTGAGTTTGTGATGTCGTCATTTCGAGTGAAGCTCGGGTCTCCTGAGACATTTGTGTTCCACCTCCAGGGCTTGGGGCTTATGTCGTTGCTTGCGCAATGCTTCGAGCCCTTTTTTTTAGGGCACCGGTCTTCGCAGATTTTGGTATTGAAGGGTTTGTGGTGAGCGGTTCTAGCTTCTACATGTAGGTTTCATACGAGTATGTGTTTGGGAAAACACTGGTTTGACGCCCGTTCTTAAGTGTTGCTGCGTCGTCACACCTTTCCCAGGTGTTGAGCCTGCTGAGTTTTCGAGGTTTGCAGTACCCAGATTTCGCGATGGGGTTAGAGTTGGTTTCCTTGACACTTGGCTAATTTGTGATTGCTGGGGATCGTGCATGCTTGCTACCTGCTCTGCTCTCGGCTTTACAGGTTCAGCTCTACCAAGCCTTCGTATTGAGGTATGAAGATTGCTCTGTTAACTGATCGCTTTTGGCAGGCTTCGCGGTTGGGGTTTACGGATTTGGCGTGCCGTATTTCGCTTCTGCTTGCAGCTCTGCTTTCGCGAACTTATCATCCCGTGTAGGGCTCGGGTCATTGCCGCTGTCACCCTCCAGGGTTTGCTACCTTTCACGGGTTGACTGTTGCCATGCTTGGCTTCGAGGTTCTGGTGCAAGACGCATGGTTGCTCCCAATGTTTCTTCTTTCGACTACCTCGTGGTACGCCCGTATGTCTGTGATGTGCAGCAGCCAAAAAACAGAATGGGACCACTCGGGTCTACACCTTCCATCATATTTCCATTGACTCATAGTCAGGCTTTCATGAAAAGGACGGGCTGTGTTGTTGTTGTTGGGGTAAAACAATATGGCGGGGCTGCTGTTTTTGTCTCTACCTAACGTACAGACAAAAAGTAGATATGTGCTCAGGCGCTCCGCGGACCCCCCGCCCCCCTCCCCCCATGGTCCATGGTCCAGGATCCCTCCTTCCCCCTGTGGGTGGGGTGTGGGGTTCCTCTTGCCCCTGTGGTGTGGCTGTGGGGTTTTGGGGTTTAGGGTTTAGCTTTATCTTTTGAGTTTGGGGTTAAGGGTTTAAGGTGAAAAGTTATAAGGCTTCGAGTCGACAAGAGCTTAGGGAATGTTTGGGGTGTAGGTTGGTAGGGTGACGGTTTTGTTCTGCTTCAAGCTTAGAGCCTGCATGTAGGCAGGGTTTATTGTCGGGTGTAGGGTTTAAAGTATGAAGTACAGGTTAACCTTAATAAAACAGGAACACGCCCTACGTTAAAGGGTTTATGGCTTGTGTAGGGCCTGCGTAAGATCCCAGCCCTCTCTGTGACCCCTGGCCGCCCCTCGAGCAGCACCCCACCAACCGCCCCGCCCCCTCTCCGCACACCGCGCCAGGCCGCCCCTCCCCGGCATCTACCAGACCATACCATGGGGGGGGCTGGGAACTCCAGACACCTGACCATATATGGGGTGACGGGGCTTGTACCTTCTTCTTCTTTGTTGTTGTTGTTGTTGTGGTTGTTCTCCATCTTCTTGCTGCTGCTGCTGCGGTGGTGGTCGTGGTGGCGGTGGTGGTCTCTATTGGCTTTGAATGAATGCATTTTCAGTTCTTGCTGCCAACACTGGGGTGATGTTGGTGCCGCTCGTGATCTGATAGCGCTGATAATTCGGTGGCGGCTGCGGTGGAGGCGACCGTCATGCCTGCTGCGGCTGCTGATCCTGCTCAATCTCCTTCTGGTCCCGTCTGCTGCTTTGGCTACGACTTTTAAGGTAGCTCCGCTGCGGCTACCGCTGCTGCTTTGGTCCTTCTTCGTCTTCATGATTCATGTTTCATGATGATGATGATGATGAAGATGCCGCCGCGCAGCTGCTGCTACGTGCTACCGCCACACTTGGGATCACTCGAGAAGCAGTGCATCTATTACAATGCAGTGGCATGTTGCTGGGTCGTGGCTTTGCGCAGGACATATCACCCTGATGTGCCAGGCAAGTCAGGGCAGGTTTTTGTAGCCACTCTGGGTGATGATGGGTGATATGGCTATTCATTCTGCACCCTTGTACCTCTGTGCACCTCATGCCCAGTCGCACATGTCAGACACTGCTTTGAACGACATGGCACGTGAGAGGTACTGGTGACGAGGATCGCTTTCGTTCTATTCGCGAGGCAGTACCGTGCAGTGTGCGTTTGAAATGCAAATCCACTTTCGATAAAACCCAAGGCCTTGGAGCAGCTAGGTACAGCGGAAGGCAATGCCGTTGGATCACTGTGATTTGAGTTGCTCGTTTCATTCCCTTGTCAGGGCGAGCCCGTTGGTCTTCCACGAAAAAGTCGACGTCTAGATCAGCCGACAGCTACGCCTACAGTAGCTACAGCAGCAGCACCAGCAGCAGCAGCTATGGCTACAGCACTCGCCACAGGCACCCACAGTGTTGGGAGATTTGAATAGACAAGCGGTTATATGCCGTTGATGTTTGAAGGGTAACCTCAGTCGGTGCCGTGTGCCTGAGGCAAGGCCAGAGGAGCAGTTGGGAAGAGGAAGTTCGAAGCCGAAAGACTCGACAAGAGGAGCAGCGATGGAGGCAAAGGGCTGAAACATGCTCGGAAAATTAGATGCAAATGCACTGCAGGCAGCAGCAGAAGCAAGAGAGGGATGCACAGAAGCAGGCGGTCGCTGATAATTTAAGCTTAGCCATCACTGCTGATGTCTTAGTCTGCTGCGTCCGCCGCACGTGTTGTGGAGCACCAATTCTTCATTGCATTTCATTGCGATGCACGGATTGGCACAACCGAATCCAAGCGCGTGAGTGCTTGCCCGACAGACAACCAGACCGAACCCACCAACCAACCCACCCACCCACCCACCCAACCGACCGACCAACCAACCACCCACCCAGCCAGCCAGCCAGCCAACCAACCAACTACCTACCCATGCTGCACACTTCTGAGAAAGTGCTTGCACGCTCAACAGCTGAAGAGGCCAAGGCCGCTGCTGCTCAAGATGTGTTCTTCGAGCGGGAACTGCGAAAGGCACTTGGTGTCCGCTAGCAAAGGTCTCATGGACGTGCCTTGAAGTCATGTGCTGTTCAGGGCTACAGCACGGCTCCACTGAAGAGTGTCGTGACACCGAAGCATTTCATGAAATTTGTGATCAAGATGTCAAAAGAGTAGCAATGCCGCATGAACAGCCACGGTCATGAGTCATGTTTGCCAAGAGCTAGCCTTAAGCAATTACTCTTAAGTCCCACCTCCTTTCACTGCAAGCTTCCAAGTCTCGGAAGTCATGATCCAACCTCAAGCTCAAGAGCTGCATAGACCTTGCAAAACACCAACGTTGTCCTAGAATGGGTGGACTTTCCCATGCCCATGGTGCCATACTAGCAGCATGCCCGTGAGAGAGCTGCTGTCTCCAAAGCCGGTGTAGGCCTGATGCACGGGACTGCGGTCAAGGCACTTCCTGTTGCTGCTTGTGCCGCAGAACCGTTGGTCGTACTCACACCATGGTGGAGCCGAAGTTCAAAGAACACGAGAGGGTGCGGTTCCGTGGCCTTGTGTCTTTGATTGCAGCCAGCTTTTCACGGGCAAGCCGCTTGTGCTTCACATCCAGTCCAAGGTAAAGAACGCAGCTGACAACGGAAAGCAAGGAACGGTGCTGAAGTATGAGGAGGGAGCGGGAAAATACCAGGCGATGGCCTTAAGCTGTTGTGCACGTGAGGTAGCAAGGCCTGTGTGGATCTCTGGTCACTTCACCATGACCGCAGCAGCAGCCTGTGTTTTCCTAATTCCCTAAACTTTTGCACTGTTCATTTCGCCCTGCAGCTGAGCTTTACTTGTACTTTGACTGAGCGGGACATGCGACCTTGAATTCATGTTACAGCCCTCCAGACTAGGGAAGAAAGCAGCTGGCCAATTTGTGTCGTTGTGTCCCAATTTGGCAGCATGCCCAATGTTCCAGATCTCGATCTCGGCCTTGCATGTCGTTGCATTGTTTCATGCTCAGGTAATGGTGAACTGGCAGACTGGGTTTGTCAGGGTAAAAGAGGAGCTCCATGGCTCGGTCTTGGCAAGCGACGCATGACACCAAACCTTCAACTTGAACGAGCTCTGGTCGGAGTGTTGTGACGCAGCACTACAGCAGAGAGTTTAGTCCGGCCAAGGAACCTGGAGAAAGTATCCGAAGAGGCCATTCCAAAGGCACCCGTGGTACCTGAAAGGCCAGGACGGTTGCAAAAGGGTGATTGCCACATTGAGGATCTGCAGCGGCGCAGGTCACCGTCCAATGCCGAGGGCGAGGCATCTGAGAAGAGAGAGAAACGAAGCAGGATCCGAACCTGAAGCTGCTGTGTGTGGCACTGGTGCTGAGTCGGAAACTCCATCGAGGAGCAAGCGCAAGAGCAGGAGCAAGTCCGGGTCCCGAAAGAGGCGGAGGACTCGCATCCTGCCGCAGAACGTGTCAGCAGTGAACTGCGGGGGCCTGCGGCGGTTTTTGGGGCGCAGGAACCGGAGCCGCTCTCGGCGCCGCTCGCGCTCACGGTCGCGGCGGAAGCGGAGCCGAAGCCCTGCGAAGGAGGCCGGGGCCGGGGCCGTTGTCTCGGCTTCTCTCGGCTTCGCGAAGTTGGCAGGAAGTCGCGAGAACTTCCGTTGCAAGTACAGTACCGGCTGCGACGGCCGTCCTCGGCCAGGCCGCACGATGTTTCAGTCGTGAACACCCTGCATACCGTACCAACCAAGCGACTCAGAATAGGGAGAGGGGTCGCAGCTTTCCTAAAGAATGCGGTTTTTTCAGCAAGCACCTCTTTTGAGATTTAGATTCTGGGTTCAGCAATCTGCTGATCCCGTATTGACCGAGAAATAGAAGTTAATCACATCGACTACGAGTGGCCCATGGGCAGCCAAAGTGTAGAGACTCTTAGACTCACAGCCGTATGCAGCATCGCTGGCCCATGTAGGACCAGACCCACAGATTCCTTTTAGAGGGCGTGCGGTTCACACCGAGCAATCTGTGGCTTACAGCACACATCCTGCATCAGGTCGCAATGCCTTCGACCCTTCAAGAGAAAGGAGACCGGAAGGCATGCGACGGCAGCTTATGTCTTGAGAATGAGTCGATGTGTCAGCATAAACATAATAATAAACATTTATTTACCTGGCGCTTTGATCGACACAGCCATCTTCCAGTGTGTTCTGTGCAGGGCGGAAAGGGCGGCAAAGGCAAAGGAAAAGGTAGCGGCAAAGACCGGACCACCCAAATCTCGAAGGCACAAATTGCACAGAACCCGCTTTTCTGCGCATTGTGCTTGTGCACGGAGGCACTGGCACGTGTGCTACGACATACCGCGGCCAGCCAGGGTATCCAGATCCGTGCAGATGGCTTCTGCAGCTTAGAGGACCGTCGCGTTGGATGTGCTTTCTTTTGCTTTTTCGAGCATGGAAGAGAATCGCGAGGACCTGCTGAAGCTGCAGGACTTTACCGCACTGTCTTGTAACGCGGAGGAGGTCAAAGCAGGAAGCCCGGGGGCTTCCCTTGGTTGTCGAACACTTTCCGGCTGCTGATTTCGTTTCATTTCGACTGGCCTCACCAGCAACATGTACCACGCAGCTCTGAAAGCAACCAAATTCTCAAGTTTTAGAATACTGAAGCGGCACTCCGGACAGAGTATTTTTCAAACAGGGTCAGGTATAAACAGACCCACGCAAAGTGTTTTCAGGAGGTGTCATATTAACTCATGTCTCTCCGATTGCTGATGCCTCATTGTGGGGGTCTAAAGGTTTCCAGCTCAAGTGTCCGCTTGCTTCTGGGGTTCCTTTCGATAGCACAAAGTGTTGGCTGGCACTTCATGCGGCTTGAATGACATTTTCCTGCGCAGCTTCGCTGCCGCTGCCTTCTTGTCGAGTGTGTTTGGATATTGGGGACTGTGTCTTAGCGTGTGAGCAGAATGTAGTCGGTTTGCAAGAGTGACAAAAGTTTTAGGGCGATCTCCCATTTCTGCCTTCTGGCTGCAGTCTGGGAAGTTGTGTCAGGTCGCTGTGGCCTCCAACGATAAGAAGCGCTTCGAAATCAGTGAAGAGTCCGGCAAGGAGAGGGCAGGGATCTCACATAATATCCGTGCTTGAAAACAAGCTGCATCTTGTGCAGGTGTTTGTCAGGGCCGTGCAGGGACACTCCATCAAGGCAGCCCAAGTCATTGCATCGGATATGTGATGTGTGCTTCGCAGTGGCATGAAATTGACGGACCAAAACGATCAACCATCGAAGACAAACGCGACAGAAGTAGTTGAGTAGTTGATGGCTGTGTACCAGATCCATCAGTTCGGGCATCGAAATGTCCTTTGGCCTTGGCATAATACTTGGCATAGCTGAACTTGTCACTGGTGTTCGCATGGCTTTGTCGGGAACAGGCGGTGGCAGACGAGAGCCTTCTTTCTCGTCTGGGTGCGGCTGATGTCGACCTTCCAACAGTTTGCTGTCCAAAGAGTAAAGGGCACGTGCTCATGGCAGACCGTTCAAGCCTTCCATGCATCAATGCATCACTGCACGATCCCTTGTGAAAACGTGGTCCAGCCGTGTTGCCTTGCCAGCACCATTGATGTCCCCGAGGTTTGTGTGCACGGCACATACCGGCGCAATTTGGAGTCGATCAGAAGGAGACGCACGACTTCTGTTGCGTTTATGTTTCGCTGGACAGTAGAGTCAGTAGAGCGGGGAGAGGCAGTAGGCAACAAGATGTTTCATTGTGTTTCCATGATTTGCAGAGCAGGAGTGGCTTGATTGCCGGTGGGGGGGTGTCCGAGCGCAACCACATCCATTTTGCTCCGTTCGAACCACATGATGGCAGAGTTATCTCGGGTATGCGCGCCTCGGAAGGATACTCATGGAGAATGCATAGCAACCAGATGTTCTGGGAGATCGCATTTTGAGCGATAGATGCCTGTGGCTCGTGTCAACTGCCAAGGATACAACTGTGAGGCCCGAGAGCATTGCATGCCCCTCATGGACTGCGAAGCAGACAGCTGCCCCATGTCCTAGTTAGATGTTGGATGCGATTTCTCGGTTCTGTGCCAGGTTGCCATCTATATAGATTTGCGAGCTGCGATTCAGGTGGCTTGGCAGCCTGCAGCAAGTTCCACTGCACAGACGCATCTTGCAGAGTCTTCCTTCTGTCTGCCAAGAATGGAATTCCCTTCTTCCGGAGCGCAAATCAAGTGATTCTTTCGCCTGGGAAAGACGGAGTGCTTCCGCCTGCTTTCATTTCTCAGATCAAAGATTTGCAAACAGGAGCTTTTCTTTGAGCGACCTGCCTGTGTTCTTCCGGTTTGCATACTCATCACATGCTTGGCCTTTGCATTTCTGACTTCTGACGACCACGGCTGGTCCAGTGCTGGATCACTTGGCTTCAAAGCAGGCCAAACTCGCGAACACACGAGATCTTAAGGGGCTTTCAAACCCTTGAGAACTTGAGAAATCTTCTCGGCATGTCACCTCCACGAACAGATACTGCTTCTAGACCTCCGAAGGTGCAAAGTCTGTTGCTTACAGCCAGTGTAAGGGAGCCAAAGTGAGCTAGAGCTCCAGACAACTCACGTGGCTGAAAAAGCTCTCTCGTTTTGGCTGTGTCATGTCAACAGTTTTGTGACAGCGCTGCCTTGTGAAGCTCTCAGACTCTTGTTGCATGCTGTGACAGCCTCAGCACAAACCGACGTGACAGATCTTGAGAGGCGGTTGCGTCTGCAAAGCACCGACAGGAGCGGTCGTGGATCTCTCCGTGTCACATCCATCTCTACCGAGTCTGGTTTGGTTGAGGGATGTTGAGGGTGCAGAGATGTCCAGACAGGCGAAGCGGCGAAAGGAGTGGCAGCAGGGCGTGAAGGCCAGGGGCGATGCCCGCATTTTCTTGCACATTCTGCCGCTGGGCGCTGGGCCGTATCGGCCTTGGGGAGCTGTGGCTGCCCAATCCCCCCCCCTTTCACAGACACGCGTTGAAAAGAAGCCTCCCCGCAATGGAGAATCCCCCAATATTCCGTGGGGACCAGAACCAGGGAGCGCCTTACATGGACACCCTTACACCTCTCGCGACTTAACTATCTTCGCCACTAAGTGCAAAAGCGAGCACCGTCGCACATGAAGCTTCAAACCCCTGTGGCACCTGCATTTGACGTACAGCCATGTCCAAAGCGAGGAGGTGCTGGAGACAGTTCGCAAGCAGCAGAAGGAGGAGCGCTTAACGCTTCCGGATCCTGCTCTTCAGAAGTTGAACCAGGTTGGCTAACATATTCTGGGACCCCCGTCTTTCGTTAAGCAAGAAGCAAGCTAGTCGGATGCAAGAACGCGGTGCCATGCCTCGCACGGAAGCACGACTTCTTCGCACACACGTTGGCGCCCTGAATGCGCCGTTTGGGCTTCCTACTACTGCAGATGCGAGTGAGGATATCCATCTCGGCTGGAGCACGCTTGATGCCTTCAAGCAGAGAAGGAGGCAACAGCTGGAGGACGAGGCAGGAGCAGAGGGTTGTGAACCTAATGCACGCACTCCTCGTTTGGACACTTCGCCTGTTCCGAGGCAGGAGTCTGGAAAGGTCGTCTGGAAGAAGAGCAAGAAAAGACAGCTTCCCAAAGAGAGAAGGCACCAGCAAGAGTTCTCTGTCTTGGGGCTTGGTCGGGGGTATGATGCCCAGTTACGATGCTGTCACCGAGGACGGAAAGATTTGGGTGCAAAAGTTCGCCCATGTTGAAGAGGAGGCCAACGGTTGCCATGACGCTCTCGTGGTCATGGCAGGGCATGGTCGTGCGTGCCTGCATGTCCACAAGACCCTTGAGGTTTGCTTGCCAGAGCCTTTGCCGACACGGCCCTCTTCCCCCTTCCCAAGCTTGTTGAGTTGGCTGGAGACTGTGCAGTCTTCCAGGCCTCTCATCGTCGAGAGGACTCTTCCTTGACCGCTTGTGTCCACCGTGGATCACTGTGGGCGATGGGACCGACGGGACTGGCAGGAGCTTGGGCGCCGGTACTCGAAGAGGCTGCGGGACTTTCGAGAGGACCTCCAGCAGAGAGCCGAGAACACCCAGGCCCAGGGCCCCAGGGCCCAGAGCCTCAGAAAGTTTCATTTTCTGTGCTTTCAAAGCACAGACGACGTTGTGTGCATGCTGTGCAGTTCCCTTGCGGAGGTCGTGGCCGAGAAGATTCAAGAGGTGGGCAGCCTTGTCAGCAGCGTTATACGGATGACACTCTGAATGTCACCAATGTTTCGGAAAGTGTGGGTAGTTCCATATAGACGTGCAGCAACGAGGCGGAGCGGTAGACTCATTGTCCAATTCAGGTGTTCCTAAGCTGTTCAAGCGGACAGGAGATCGAAAACATTGTCTCGAAGCAAGACGAGAAAAACATGAATTGCCTCTTAGATTGCAGCCGGCTAGTTTCTCCTTTACCGTGCCCGTACTTCATGACTGTCAGCACGGCTTCATGCTTCCGGATGGACGGAAAGGTTCTTATGCAGCCACCTGCTATTCAGCAGCCACTCCAGTTGAATTTCGTGTTGCACTTTGACATGCAGGGTTCCTGGTGTGCCTGTTGAGTATGAAGTATTTGCGGCGTTGATGTCAGTCGGTTTGCGTGAAATTGTGTTTGGGAGTTCAGCGCAGCCACAAGGATGAGAAACAGTGTTGGCACCAGAGCTGAGGCTGTTGTCCATGAGCACAGACACACTTGCCCTCCAATGTTGAGTGGCGCATAGGCATGCAGCATGTGCACTCGGTGTTGTGGAGTTGCAATGGCCTGACTTGAGAGGCTTTGAAACTGCTTGCCCCTTGAATGTCACGCGTCACATCGTTTGGCAGGTTTCTTGATGTC